CTGTGATCTCAAAAACTTATCTTCTTCCCATCACCCACCCTGAATGATATATTTCAATTAAAAAATTTCCACCCTTTTATAATATTTCTTCATAACCTGCACCCAAAAGGAAGTGACATTTTAAGTCCTCCACCCCCCTTCCAACACCTCATACTTCTCTGCAATTACCCCTTCCAAAAAGCCTCCACCTCTACCCCAAATCTCCGTAGTCACTTTGTCACTAACGCCTTGTTGAAAACTCTTAGATTTTTTATCCCAAGTCTACACAACACTTCGGTGTAGCAGTGTTTTGGATAGCGTGCGGCGATAAATAGCAACGAGGGTCCGCTTCACTGAGGCGAGAGGCGAGCAGCGAAGCGCTTGCCTTTTTGCTGTGAAGCGACAATTTATACAAAAAAATAAAATATTCTATATATAACTAAAAACTCAAATAGCAACAATATATTAATAAATATATCAATTTTCAAAAATTAAAAACTCAATATATAGCTATAGTAGATTCATACTAACAAGCAAAAGGAAGAAAAAACAGAGTAACAGCGATTAAAAACAGAGCCCAAAACTAAAAGAAAGAAGAGAGAACAGAGAAGAAAGAAGGAAAAAAAAATTGGACAGAGTCACAGAACTGAAACTCGAAGAAAGAAGAAATGAGAAGAAGAAAGAAGAAAAGAGATGAAGAGAAGCATACCTGATGAAGAAAGAAGAAAGAAAAGAGCTGGTCTGTTATAGGTTTGTTGTCGACTTGAAGGAGAAAGAGTAAAGAAATCGCGAGCCCTAATTTTTTGTTTTAACAGACCGCTGCTACTGCCTTCTTCTTTACTTTTTTGCAAAAAGCGACGCTACAGGTCGCCACACGCTACAAAGGCAGAGGCATGGTAACAATAGTGTACTGATAGTGTTGAAAACGCTACGCCACACTGTAAAATAGTGATGGCAGCTCGCCTCGCCTCATGCTATTAGCGCTGAGGCGAGCGCTATTTACAACACTGCGGTGTGGTAACAATCTCTCAATTAACCAAGTGAGTTCCTCTCCCCACTTGAGCCATGCCATAGAAAATCTCTCTGAAGTTTTCTAACTTCCTAGTAACGCCAATCGGAGCCTGTAACACGGACATGAAATAAGTAAGAATACCCAATAGTGTACTCTTAGTTAACAATTCATTTTTCCTTTTGGATAAGTACCTCTTTTGCCAACCTGCGAGCCTTTTGTCTACCCTCTCTATTACCGGGTTCCAAACCGCTAGGTTTTTGTTAGATGCACCTAGCGGTAAGCCCAAGCAAGTAGTTGAAGAACCCCGGTCATACAATTCCTGACATGTGCTAGGACCTCCATATTCTCTGCACCCCACTGAAATAATCTCGCATTCTCTAAGGTTGATCTTTAGGCTCGACACCAATGGGAACTGTATCAGCACTTGTCTCATATAAGACAACTAGGCTCTATCAACATCACAAAACACTAAAGTATCATCTGCAAATAATAGATGAGATATCCTTACAATACTTTGACCACTCGTCGCTGCAGAAAAACCACTTAAGTAACCCCCTACTACAGCTTTATCCATCATTCTACTCAATGCTTCCATCATTAAAATGAAAAATATATACGAAGTAGGTCGTTCTGTCTCATTCTTCTCATGCAACCAAAGAACCCGCATGGATTACCATTCATGAGGACAGAGAACTTGGCAGTTGAAATGCAAAACTTGATTTATTTCCATGTTGCCCCAAATCCCATCCTCAACATAATGAAATCAAGGAACTCCCAATTAACATGATCATAGGCTTTCTCAAAATCCAATTTACACAAAATCCTCGGTTCCCCTTTCTTTCTTCTCGAATCAACCAGTTCATTAGCCACCAATGTTGCATCTAGAATTTGTTTACCTTCCATAAAAGCATTTTGCGAAGTAGATATTGTCTCATCCAATACCTATCTTATAAATGCTCCCTACTAGAACAATAGGTCTATAAACCTTTATACTCGATGCTTCCTATCTTTTCGGAATGATGACAACGAAAGAGGCATTGAAACTTTTTTCGAACTCCCCCGTACTCTAGAAAGCTGCAATAGTTTCTAACACTACTAGAAAAATACTAAGGTGAAACCGTCTGGTCCTAGAGCTTTATCCCCTACACAACTTTCAACTGTCTTCTTCACCTAGTATTCTCTAATAGTCTTCTTTAACCATCCACTTTTCTATTCCCCTATATGTTTAAACTCAAAACCCCTTAGAATAGCCCTCCAATCTGCCTCCTCCATAAATAATTGTTCATTAGAAACCACGATAGCTCACCTACCTCCAGACCCTCATGCACCACCCTATTTATCTCTACTGAGTCTATGAGTTTCTCCTCCCATTAGCCACCGCAACCTTGTGGAAACATTTGTATTCAAGTCCCCTCCTCCAAACATAACACCCTCGATTTTTGCCTCCAACTAATCTTATGAGCTATAGCCAAAGAAGCTAGCTCTTTTTAACTCCTCCCTCACCTTTTCCCTATTCACCAACCTTGTCTTCCTTTCTACCATCTCTAACTCCCTGACCTCGTGAATGACCTTTTTTATCTTCACCTCTACCCTGCCAAATCTCTTAAGCATCTTTAGTTTCCTTGCAAGTCGGAAAGACGAGTTCCCTATCACTACATAACTACTCCACCACCCTGCCACTCTTTCCCTATGTCCGACGCCTTCAACCATATATTTTCAAATCTAAAAGGATCTCTCGCCCTCCTTCCTCCCCCCCCCTCCCATCTAGCATAATAGGTGAATGGTCTAATGTCAATCTAGGGAAAGGAACCAGAATTACATTCAGATTCATTTAGGGGTGGGCATCGGTTGGTTCGGTTCGGTTCTGTTGTGAATGTTATCGGTTCGGCATATAGGTTATCGGTTTATAAATATACTAAACCGATAACCGAACCGATAAGATATCGATTATCGGGTATCGTTTAACGATCCTTACTGGTTCGGTTATTGGTTTACCCGATAAGAATAAAATATATCCAAAAATTTCATGTTTTTATTACAGAAATCGTGATCATAATGTTAAGAGAAAGAAACTGAATTTTTGCTCTTAAGAAAAGAGGGATTAAATTTCAACTTCTTGCATATGAAAATCCCAATGAATGATCTCAATTTTCAAAGTTATAAGTTAGTAGGAGTAAGGAATAAGACATTCAACAATCTAATCTTACTAACTATCTCACTGCGGGCAGGCATAACTCACAGAAAAATAATAAAATGCTAATCTTGTAAATACTAAAGAATCACTGCAACAAAAGAAACAAATAGCAAAACTAAAAATCTAAACAATTAATTATTTAAAGTTTACAACTAAAAATTTTAACTGAAGAATTAAGATGAGAAATTCAGAAAAGTTTAAAACTTATTCTAAGGATTAAGGTGAGAAGATTAAGAGTAACTGCCGAGAGAATTAAGAGAATGAGAGAATGAAGTAATAAGGTGGCTTTATATACAGTGGGTAAAATTATATTTTTGTTAAAGCTTATTCGGTTATCGATTAAACCTTAACAAAATTGGGCAAACTGAGACTCGAACCAATAACCCAATAGTCAAATAATATTAAACTGTTATCAAATTATTTACCTAATAACCCGATATCGATAACCCAATAGCATTTTATCGATTCGGGCTATCGGTTATACCCGATATATACCCAGCCCTAGATTCATCTCATCCCAAAAATTGGACACCAAGAATCTGTCAAGTCTTGATCTAGAAAAAGAGTCTTCCGATCTAGACTGAGAGAATCTAGCAACTGTTAAAGGAAGGTAAACAAGAAACTGGTTATCGATAAACTCCAAAAACTCCTCCATAGCCCTCGTAAACCCCCTGCTCCCCTCCCTCTCCCGGCTATGGTCCCCTTCCCTCCCCCGACTATCAGATAGTATTGAGATCCCCTCCCACCAACCATGGAATGTCCCACTCTCCCATATATTAGTCATCTCTTCCCAAAATACCGCCTTCAAGCCCTCCCTAGGAGCACACTCCCCTGAAATCCCACTTCACCACATTCCAATAATTTTGAAATCTCACTGATATACATAACTCACCCTTCTTAGTTTCCATAACTTCATTTTTTTTCTCATCCCATAATAAAAGTATCCCCCTGCGAACACCCTAGATGGGATAGCATCATGTTTCACCCACTTTCCACCCCAAATACTCCTCACAACACCATTTGTCACGTTTTCCATTTTTTCTCCAAAACACAAACAATATCCATCCCACATTCCCTAAGACATACCGTTATGATCATTGTTGCTAGGGTCATTCATGCCCCTCTTGCCAGGGTCATTCAAGCAGTTATTAAACTGTTAAAAGCCGTGAAGCAAATAACAAATTTTTGTGTGTTATCAAACCTGAACGAGATATGCTCAAAGTGGTCATTGTCAAGTAAACATACTTAAACTTATTACAGCTTAACAACTTCAATGTCTGATGCCTCTTCTACGTTTTCTTTTTGCATATTTAGATAGTATCTAAGCAGAATAATTCTGTTTGGGCCAAGCATTAACCTATATTCATTCTTGTTCGAACCTAGAATGCTTAATATAATAGTGTCCTCAAGCTTCTGGTAAATAATTACATCTGATTTTTCTTCAAAACAAGAAAGGCGTAATCACGGTGTTAGTTAAATAGCTATTATCTACAGAAAGTGTAGAGTTATTAAGTGAAAATACCTCCAAAAGTATGTCAAAAAATACAAATTATATAAATTCAGTTTTAGACGTGCTTTCAACACCTCTGTTAAGAGTGATTACGGTTGTTGACCCGAAAGTGATCCAATTATACAATATAAGTGACACTTTCCTCTAGCATGTACATTCACATCCAGAAATTCAAATAAGTCACCGCAGTTAAGTTCTATTTCCTCTCATGAAAGCACAAATCATGTGGAAGGGGTAAACCTTGAATACGCGAAAACTATATAACACTTTTAAAATTGTATCAGCACCAGAGTGAAGAACGTCACCAGAATGTATATCCTTCTCCAGCACTTGTGGAGTAACAAAGAAAACTCGTCTCTCTTTCCATAAGCTCGCTCTTCTCGACGGATTTGTTTGACCTGTCAGATCAATTGTGCACTCCTGTAATCAATTTAGCAACAAATGTCTTAAAATATAAATAACAGTACATTTGCTCTTTTAGGACACAGGATTAGAAAAACAACATAGAAATAATAGAAAACAGAACAAACTTCTAGCTTACTTGTGGAATATCTACAAACTTATGCAATGCTTCCACCTGCTGCAAAACAAGTGGGCGTGAAGGAGCTGCAAAAACAATTTTCCCTGCCATTGGGACACCATCCAGAACAGTTAATCCAAAGGTTTGGATTAAAATATCTTCTCAGCCGATATATATATATATATATATATATATAAAAAAAAAACAGGACCATCATTAGTAAGTGAAGGGCTCATCGGGATTCAGGCATCTTAAAACTCAAAACAAAATTTCCTTTGTTCACAAACTTGAAAATGCATAAAATGAAGTATCTAGCCTAATAATGTTGCTGCATAATATTTCACAGTTGTTAGCACAAGATGTGCACTCAAAATACAAGAACTATGAACAGTACAATGAAAAGTCAAAGCAAAATATAACAAGTAGAATTAGCTGCTGACAGAGGTCCATTTAAATCAAAATGATCATTGGCAATGGTAAGAGCTTAACAATTGAAGTCTATGAATCAAAATGCTCGAAGTTCATTGTGATGTATATATATCATGACTAAGTTCTTAACACTTATTTCAAAACAAATCTTTTTGTTCTTTGTTATACAGGGTGCAAGAGAGTTGAAATTGTAAAAGATGTCATCAAGAGAAAGAGGACAGAGTGAAGAGAGAGCATGGAGACCTAAGTCTGCTATAGAACTACTCATATCACACTTGTTCAACTTCATTTGGCATCTGGATGAACGAGGTAGTGTTAGATCATGCGGAGGAATGCGAACATCCATCCCATGAACCGCCAGGGAGCCATGCATTTCTCCGGCTTGGGATCTTTCATGTCCAGTATCCCATTAGATCTACCAGCAACAGACTAGGGGCTCACTACATCCCATCTCACTGGGGGCAGAAAATGAATCTCCATCTCGCCCCTTTTGAGATTGGTTGGGATAGAAGGTTGAAGTCCATCTGAACTGCCCAATGAGTATAAGAGAAAAGCAAAGTACCAATGACACGCTACTAACCATTTCACGATTTAAACCATTATTTAAACTTCCCAGTTTATTCAACATTTTACTCTACATAAATGTAGAGGTTAATTTAGGTTGAGTTTATTGGGATGGGGGGAGTAAATTCTTATGTTCAAAGCACCTACTTGTCACTTTTTTATAGCTCAAAATTTCAGCAGATTCAGCTGAGATTAATCTTGCTTCTCAAAAACTAGCTCTTCAATGTGGAGACATGACGAGAGTAGTTACCGGAAATAGTGTGTGACAAGTTTAAAAGAATAAGAAATACGATAGATGTAGCACTGCATTACCTTCTGGAAACCATCTGAAATAATTATACATTACAACAGCAGCAATAAATGTCTTCCCAAGACCTGTGGGTAATGCCACTAAGGTATTGCTAAAAAGAGCAGTCTGGATGATAGAAAATTGATAATCACGACGATCGAAATTGACTGCAGGAAAAATAAAGTTAACTGAACATGAGTCTTCATTCCAAGAAACTACTACAATGCTTTATCTAAAAGATAGTGACAGTTACATCATAGAGCTTATGACTATCCATGCAAAAGTTTCATTCAAGCAGCATAACTCGTCAATATTGGCAATTTGCTTAAATATCATGTTAGAGAACAGAGATAGCATGCTTAAAATTTAACAAAAAGGTCTTAAAAGGAAAGAAGAAGAAAAATGCAGTTGCACATCACTAACAAAATTATAATTATTTCTCAAAAGCAACATACAATAATTTTCACCTTCTCCCACATTGCTAGTTTTGGTATAAGGATAACAATAGATTAACCAAGATCAAATATAATACATGGTTTTTCTCTTTTTTCCTTTCTTTTGATAATCGTAGGGCTCGACCAACATATATGGGCCTCGACTAATTCACTTGGCAGCCTACTACAGCCCACATGCACAGTTGGCAGGTCAACCTGCTCAACATGGATGAAAAGATACTACTGAGTATTATAGTTAAGATTCGAACATGGGATCTCCAAGTTGTACTTGTACACCTAAACCACTCAGTCGTCCCCTTGGGTCACAACAAATGGTACTCCCGCAGTCCCAATGTATGTGATGGTATTTCCTTTTTAGTTTGTCCTAAAAGAATGACACGATTCTATATTTAGAGACAATCTAACAATACACTTCTCATTTTATCCTTAATGAGATGATTTTTAGCCGCACAGATATTTATGGTTTAATTTAGACCACAAGTTTCAAAAATCTTCTTTCTTTACATAAATTGGAACATAGAGAGTATTTACTAATTCTTAAAAAGCCCAATCAACAACTAACTGCCAAACCTACGTCTACGATGAGAACAAACACATTCAGCTTTTACCTAAGTTTATTTTAATTGGAATGATAAATATTACAGTATCTCATTTGGGACATGTACATCAAGTCAAATGAAGAATCCGCGAAACATAAAGTAAAACACTCAAAAATGCTGGCACTTTTTGACTTCTAGAGAACATAAATATGTAAAAATATAAATTAAAACAAGATATTGATGAACTATAACCAAAAAAAAACAGTGAAAAAAAAAAGAACCTGGGAAAATCCAAGTTTTTGCAGCCTCCGGATCAATCTTCACATCATTAGGGCCCTGAGATGATTCACTGGGCCCACAAGATTCAAAATCATCTTCGTTCTTTTGTCCGAGCCCGTTTCGATTGTCCTGTTTGGTGGAATTTTGGAAAAATTTATCAAGTGTGGATTGTCTTGAAGAAGAAGGAGCAAAAGGGTACTTATGGGTTTCCTTAACTTGGTGATTTGAATGAGAAGTAGAAGCAAAATTAGAAGAAAATGGTCTGTTGGAAATTGCTGTTGCTTCTAAAGCCCCATCGATTTCTTTCACAGCTAAGTCCCAATCAAATTCCTGTAGGAAAATAGCATGAGGGTTAGTAGTTGAAAACAAAGGAAACACACACACACACACACAGAGAGAGAGAGAGAGAGCACGTCGTCGTCGTCGTCGATTGTGTGGATAACTGTGGATGAAGAAGGCATTGGGGAATGGAGAATAGTGTAATGGAGAAGGAAGCAACGGAGGGAAACTTATAAGGGCACTTTGAATGTGGGAAACTGGAAAATAGCGCCAGGGAATTTTCCCCAATTTTTCATTACTTAGAAAAATTCCTTCTATTTTGTATTGCATATTATATTTCGAGAAAACAACATTAAGGTATTAAAATATTAAATCAACGTGTAAAATTGGATTTCAACATTGGTTCAAATTTTAAACTTGTAAAGTTGTCAAAATAATTTTTGAAAATGTTTCAAATTTGTAAATTATGACCTCGAGAGCCATACTCTATTTTAAATTGTAACGACTCGACCGATGTTTTGAGCTCTAGACCGTCGTTCAACGTTCTGAGGCCTTGAGTAGCTTCACTTCATGTTTTATGACTTGTACGCATAGTTGGAATTGAATTTCGGGAAGTTCGGAGTAGATTCAAAAGGAAAATTCTCAATTCGGAAGCTTTAAGTTGGAAGAGTTGACGAAGCTTTTGACTTTGGAGTAAGCTACCTCGGAATCCATATTTGAAGGTTCCAATAGGTTCGTACGATGATTTCGGACTTGGGCATATGTTCTAGTTGAGTATCGGGTGGTCCAGGAGCATTTCGGCGCTTATTATGGAAAGTTGGCATTTTGAAAGTTTTAGAATTTCCTAAGTTTGTTTTGAAGTGGACTTTGGTATTATCGATATTCGTTTGGGGTTCCGGGCCTTGGAATAAGTTCATATCTTGATTTGTGACTTGTATGTAAACTTTGGCATCATTTCGGAATGTTTAAGTATGATTCGGACGCGTTCGTAGAAGTTGCAATGTTTGAAAGTTGAAAGAAGGATTTTGATCGTCGATTCATGATTTTGATATTATTTGTGGTGTTTCGAGCCTATGGATAAGGTATTGGGACATGTTGGTGTGATCGGACGGGGCCTCGGGTGAGTTCCGCGGTGGTTTCGGATCATTTCTCCATGTTTTGTTGATGCTGTTGTTGGTTCTGGTGTTGTTTATCGCGAACGTGTAGCGGTTATCGCGTTCGCGAAGAAAGAATTGGTTGCTGGGATTTTGTGCTTCGCGTTTGCGAATGTTTGGGGGGCAAGGCTCTGCATTCGCGATTCAATGTTCGCGTTAGCGATGAAAAAGCTGGTATAATGGCTGATTTGGTCATCGTGTTCGCGGAAGGGCAAACGCGTTCGCGATGGGTAGGCTGGTAAAGCTTTGCGTTCGTGTATCCTTTCTCGTATTCGCGTAGAGGAGTTTGGGAGCAGAAGTTGGTTGTGCTTCGCGAAAGTGAGGGAATTTCCGCGTTCGCGATGAAGGTCGTCTGGGCAATGTATAAGATTGCAAAAAAGGAGTTTTAGCTCATTTTATCTCAAGCCGAGCTTGGGGCGATTATTGAAGGAGTTTATTCATCATCCATCACTAGGCAAGTGATTTATACACATTAAGAGTTAAACACATGAATTATACATGGATTACAAATATGAAAATTGGTGAAAATTATGAGATTTTGAAGAAAACCTAGATTTTGTATATTTGAATTTTGACCACAAAAGTGGACATGGAATTAGGAATAAATTATATATTTGAGTTTGTGGTATTATGAGTAATGATTGTCTTCAAGAATTTTTGGAATCCCGACACGTGGGCTCGAAGGTTGACTTTGTTGACTTTCGAGCGGAGTTGAGTGTTACACTCCATATTTTCTTATGTAAAAGTGTGTCGTAAGTAAACTAATGTAAGACCGAAAATGAGATCATCTTTGGAAGTATATAAAGTAATTTATCATGGTACCTCGGATGTTACATATATTGAGGATCACGAACAACAAGTACAAAGAGGGTTGGAAGGTTTAGAAGCTAAGGAATTGAAGAAAATAATATTTCGTCGCAAGTCAACAAGTTTGGAATGTTATAACATATACTTTTGGGGTGAGACTAGGGTTCTCAGCATGATAAGAAGGTTATATTATGAGTTATGTTAGTCGTATGATAGTCGTGTATTATCTTTTGAAGTCAAGCGAGTTGTGGAACAAAAGTCGATGAAAGTCATCACGAGTTGCATTCATAAGTTTTACTGAAAGTTTGGGTCAAATGTAACTGCGGTTTTCTCCCAACATACTTAGATTTATGGGGTGTTCCACCCATCAAATTGAAGCTCTATGAGTCTATTTTCTAACGTCATTTGTCAATACGGCATTGGAGTATAGAGATATATGCATTTTTGCAAGACTGCGCGGGCTGCTAAGTGACAAGTAGGTGTGTCACCTACTTGGTTAAATGAGAGCCCAAAAGAGGCTATTTCGGGTCAGCTAAATAGCCCATTTAAGGGCTTATCTCCTGCAATATAACCAACATTATACATCACAAATAACCAGACCTAAACCCCGGCAAGCTTCCTCCCAAAAATTACCCACAAACTCTAATTGATTTTCTCTCCCCTTCAAGTTCTAATTGGAGGTAAAACCTAGAGTGTGAAGAACCAAAATAGGAGCTAAGTTATCCAACAAATAAGATAATTTTACTGCTCTCTTTCATCCATTTTTTCTGCTGTAAATTCATGGTAAGTCATTCTATAGTTGTAAGAACTCACGGGATGGTGATCAGAAGTCGTGAGTTCGAGTTATTCCCTTGTAGCGGACTGTTTTGTGGACTATTTTGTTGTTCTTTTAGGTTGCGTGTTTTACTACTGTTTTCTGGAGTTTTGGAGGAGGAAAGATGTGGAGAAATACCACATAAATGCAGGGTGGAGGGCTGGTCGTTCGTCATAATATTTTCAGGTTGTTTGACACTACTACGGTGGTCGTTTTGTGTATGAAGAGATTGGGGTGTTGGGATATTTTGTAGTATTTTGTGGTATATATAAGGTTGGAAAATAATGTATATATGTTGATATTGTTGTGTTCTTTTGTTGTTGGTTTTATCTTGAATTTGGAGGAAGTAGGGATTATAGGGGAGATGTTGTCCGTTTTTATACAAAATAAGCTCGTCGTTCGTTGTGCGATAGTTGTACATTCGTAATTTAATGATAGTATTATTATCTTTATTGTAGATTAAGGTGTGAAAAAGCAAGTTCAACTTGGTGATTTGAAAGATTGTGATAAGGTATGTTAAGGCTAAATATTTCCTTCATTTTGGCATGGTCCTATAACTACATGTGTTTGATAACGAGACATAAAGAGAAGTTTGTAATCCTGAACTTATGTACATTATCCTAGTCTCATTAGTTACAATATGCTCCCTTATCGGGACTTCATATTCAGTTTAGTTTTGTCTTCTGTCAACCAAGAGAGCAGAGAGTCTATATATATATACAATATTATAGTATTTCACCACCATCTAGCTATAATGGATGGGCAGACCCCTATTGGGCAACCTTTGATCAAATGGTAAGTTATATACTGAGTCTAATGTGGCCAAGCACTTATGAGCTATCCTAGAATAGCCGAAATACAGAGCCTAGTATGGCCGAGCGCCTACGAGCGAGCCTACTACGGCAGAGTAGCTACACGTTTCGAACCTTATCGGGGCGGACATTTATTTTACTTATTATATTGAGAGAGTTGAGTCAGTATCAGCAGGTAAGTATATCTCCAGATTATTTTTGACTCCCAGTTACTTTCAGTTATTATGTTATCAGTTCATTTTTAGCTTTCAGTTATTTTATTGCCTTACATACTCGGTACATTATTTTGTACCGACGTCCCTTTTTTCTGGGGATGTTGCATTTCAGTGTGCAGGTTCAGACAGATAAATGGGTAAACCTCCTCAGTAGGTGTTGCCCGAGTTCAGCTTGATCGGTAAGCTCCACGTCCTTTGGAGTTACCGGGTCTAGAGTTTTATGTACATCTTGTGTATATACGTATATATGTTATGGGTAGGTCAGGGCCCTGTTCCGATCACAGTACATCCATTAGTAGAGGCTTGTAGACATATCATGTTAGTTATGCAGTATGTTGGGCTTGTAGGCCTTGTATGTATATTTTGTTTATTTGTTAGTTGTAGTAGTTATGAGCGCCTTGTCGGGCCTACTTTATATTGATGTTTAGTCAGAGCTAGTTTCCGTTCAGTTTTATATTTTGCTTCGCAAATTATCTTGCAATGTGGCCCCATGGCCAAAGTATGACATTGTATGTCCAGAATCCCTCAGTCGCAAGTTGACTAGGTTAAGTGAAGCACCGAGTGTCGGTCTCGCCTTCCAGGTTCGGGGCGTGACATTGAGGACTTGTTATGAATTGTTAAATTATAAGCGTTTGAGTATATTTTGATTGATTTGGACGTTGTTTGACTAGTTTTCGATCGATGCGCTTCAGTTGAGGTGTTAGAAGGGTGTTGGAACCGGTTAAGGAACTTCGGAGCAAGGTAAGTCTCTTGTCTAACCTTGTGAGGGGGAAACTACCCCGTAGGTATGAAATTATTACATGCTACTTGTTGTGGGGGCCATGTACGCACGAGGTGACGAAAGTGCGTACGTAGCTATTATCATGTTATGTTCAGATAGATTTAGGACTTTATCATGCAACATTTGTATTATCTGAATTCAACTTGTTAGTTCAATTACCTAAGACTTATAAATGAAATGTGATTAGAGATCATGTTTGATCAAACCTCATTGCCTTGAGTTGTTGGCAGGATATTTGAAAATTGGTAAAGTCATAATTACTTTACGTTCCCGTTTTTATAATACAAATATGTAGCCCATAATTCGATAAGAACGCCTCGATAATGCTATGAAATAGCAATATGAGATGTATCTACGGATCAGACCGTACGACCTCGGCAATGTATGTACACAACTATATGAATTGGGCCAAATGACCTCGACATAATTCGTGCGTAAAATCGCTAGGATTCCGAATAACCATGAGATTACCCTCTTAATTAGACTTAGGAATTACGTAATATTCTCTTTATAACCTGAGATCAAATATCTAATTGATGGTTCCTATTTGTTGAGATAGTATGTGGCACTTGGGGGCAGTTAAACTGATAATATTTGTTAACTGATTTCGTTATCTGTTGTTCCTTATTCTATTGATCCTATTGTATTTTATGCCTACTTATGATTCCTGCATTTTATTTATTGG